ATATATATATATATATGTTTGAACTCCACCCGAAGTAGTATGCTCTTATAGCATTATGTAACATCCTAAACTCGGATACGTATATATTAAGCTTTACACAACAATCTAAGGTGTCACCAACAACAAAATACTTAACAAATCAAACATTTAACAAACACGCAACAGAAAATATCAACATCATATAACACCTGTTATCGCACGTTCACATTCACTTCAGGTATCATTGCGGCGGTATCGATCTCATTTCAATTAAATAAAACAACATAACTTAGGCATTTAGTCCCAAGTTAGAATGGATATTTAAGTGGCATACGGTTCTCATGATTTTTTACTCCTAGTTAACAAGAGTTTTTCCCTTCTAAAATTGTGTTGTGTTGTTTAATATGTTTTGTTGATTGTTATTGCATTTGATATTTGGGAGAAATTGTCTTGTTAGATTATTTTGTTGCATTGTGAATTTTCTCCCAACATATTGGAGATGAAAAGGTGAAGGATTGAGATAGATGTTAGAGATTAGAAATGACATAATAGAGGTTAGAGATGATAAAATGAAGGTTGAAATTGATAAAACAGAAGTTGGAGATGGAGGTTGGAGTTGGTAAAATGGAAGTTGAAGATGGATGTTAGACATGAAAAAATAGAGATTAAAAATATAGGTTGGAGGTTGAAGATTGAGGTTAGAGATGAAACAATGGAAGTTGAAAATGAAAAGAAAAAAAAGTAAAGGTTAGATATGAGAAAAAAATAGAGGTTGGAAGTTGGAGATAGATGGAAAAAAAGATAAATTTGTAAAATTAATTTTTTTCTTTAGATTTCATCCTTCCAAGTTATGTGGTAAACATTTGCTACATTGTCTTCTTTTTTTAATAAAATATTAATGTCAAGACGAAAATCAAATAAATCTTAATATAGGAGAATTTTTTTTAAAAAAAATTCAGGAATGTCCAACAACTTCCAAGAAAAAATAATATATTTAACCTAATAATAATTTCATATTTAATAAAATAATAATTTTAAATTCAACAAAATAATAATATTTAAATTATTTTAACAATTATTAACATAAACAAATACTCACAAATACAAATATCATGAAATTTATATCTATACCTATAAACAAATAAATAATTAAATATTCGTTTGTTTATTTTAATAGGTGCATATCCAATAATCTATAGAGTTCACACGGGATTGAAACTATCGTTAGAAATGACAATTGTATACACATTCAGTGGATACTTGCAAAAATACGTACAATTAATAGAATAAAAATTCACAAACAGAGTATGAACTTGAATAATTGCCCGCTAAAATAAACAGGTGTGTATACAGGTGCATATACCTTAATATCCAATCTATTAAGAATGACAATTGAACTCATCCTCATTAAACACCCGCAAAAATTATCTATAATAAATAGAATAAAAATTCACAAAATATACACAAGCAGGCACAGACAATTACCCATAAAAATAAACTAATATATAAATGGATACGGATATTTTAATACCTACTCAACCACATACCCATACAATATCATCCTTAATACGGATATATATATATATATATATATATATATATATATATATATATATATATATATATATATATCCTTAATACCTACTCAACCACATACCCATACAATATCATCCTTAATACGGATATATATATATATATATATATATATATATATATATATATATATATATATATATATATATATATATATATATATATATATGTTAATTTATCAATTTTATTAAATGAATCACTATTAAATTTGTATATATCTTAATATAATGTTTGTTTATTTCTTAACCCAACAATATCATCTTTAAATTTTTTTTTCTTATTAAAAATTTAAAATCACATAAATTATTAATAATATATTAATTTTTATTAAAAATATAGATAAACAAGTAGGGATACTTAAGTACACAAAGTACAAACATATATAGACATATATAAACATTGATGTCCACGCAAATTAGAAGTGACAATACGGGTTGCTCCCACCAGGTCGACCCATTTGGCGGGTTGGGTTGAGGTTTTTAATTCGGTATTTTAAGTTGACCTGCCCCGCCTAACCCGCTTGAAAAAGTTGACCTACCCTGCCTAACCCACAAGCTATTTGTTAAACCTTTTTATTTTTACTTAAAATTAAAACAATTTTAACAAAAATGTTGGCCCGCCCCACCCCATTTTTGTACGAATTTAAATAGAACAGACCTAAATAAAACGAACTGCCAACTTTACCACCCTTAATACAAATGTAAACTCAAACAAATTTTTAAAGATAAATACTACAATACATCTAGCTTAACTCTACTCATTGATATCCTTATATCCATCCCATACTTGCGTATATTAATTTATATCATCATATAAAAAAATGTCTTATTTCTTTGAATAAATACATTCCACTTTAAATATTACAGTTTAATTTAAGTGTCCAATTATTTCATAATTGAATAATAAAATTTTTGAATTTTGTAAATTTTGTTAAAAATTTAAAATGATATATTTTTTCAATTGTTAAAATTAGTTTTATCAGATTTAGGTAACACATAAAACTACTAGACTTAGCTACTCATATGATAAAAAATAAAGAGTAGTGTTAACTTGGGCTCCAATGGCACATGTTAAGAACTAAATTAAGAAATATTATCTTGAAAATTGTATACAAACTTTAATTAAAGTATAAAATTAACTTTCAAATTGTTTTTTCCAATACAAATTTACTAAAAATAGTTTTCTTAACATATGCCCCAAAGACACAAGTTAACATTACCCAAAAATAAAACTACAGAACTTAACTACTCATTTGATAAAAAATAAAATAAGACTTAGCTACTCATATGGTACAAATATATAGATTGGTGGCCATGCAAATATAAACTCAAGTATAGAAAACATTTCAAATTGTGAAAAGAAAAAAAAATTGAGTATTATAACCCAAACCCTCCTCATCATATCTCTATTTCTAAATGATAATGAATATGCAAGTTGCACGAATGTTTTTTTTTCAAATCTCAAGGCCATTCAAATAGTCAATTAGACTTAAGGATTAGTCACATCTGGACTAACTGCCAAATTAGAACATGATTGTTTATTGGTCTTTCTCGGGCCTTCGGGAAAAGTAACAATTAGACTTGACCTAAAATCGCTTATGCAATCATTAAAACCCTGGTTTTCATATATAATTTCTAATGAATTTTGCACTATACAAAAAAGTTTAGAAAACGTAAACCCTGGTTTTCATATATAACTTCTAATGAATTTTGCAATATACAAAAAAGCTTAAAATACGTAAACGCTTATATAGAACAATGAATATTTTTTTTATATTTTTTTTATCTTAAACAAAAATATTAATATAAACAAACTCAACGGTGATTTGAAATATTGTAACACCACATTTTGTTCATCGCACCAATCAACCAAAGAAAGTAATTCGGCCACATAAATCATGAACACCATGAATCTAGACCTAAATGAAAAATCCAATGATAAGGAAAGATAACAAGTTTGCCATGAATCTAGACCTAAATGAAAAATCCAATGATAAGGAAAGATAACAAGTTTGCCGCTTCTCATCCAACCCATGAATGAAAATTCTGCTCACAGCTTCTCATCCAACCCATGAATGAAAATTCTGCTCACAGTTGAGGTCAAATATACAGACTGGGGATTAATGTGTGGGAAATAATGTGAAAAGGCTTCGAGAAGAAATGTACTCGGTGGCAGGAGATACAACAAAAGTGAAGGTAGGTGAAAGCATCAACGACATGCACCAATTGGTTACCACAGATGGTCACGAGAATAACACTTAACATAGCTTAAAATGATAAAGAGCTTGAAAATTATTACTATTAGCTAAATACTTAAAATATTCCAAAGAGAAGGAACCCAACCCAATCCAATGAGCCAATTAAAATAATAATAAATATGATAACACAGCAAAAAATTAGAAGAAAAGAAAAACTAACATTAACTCAATCAAAATTAAAAACCATGGGATAAAGCCAGAGACTAAATTGATTGACATTCTTTAACTTCATGGACTAAGTTGTCTGATAACAAAAATCCAAAAGAAAGTTTTTAAACTAGAAAAAAATAACAAAAAATATCAGGTTTTTTTAATACACCAACCAACTTAACTAGTCAAATTATATTATCATAAAAATGTAAATTTTTATTAAAGGCGACTAGTTCAAATTTGTTGCTAAACGTAGTAACAAAATTGCTTTTCAAAACATAAAAGAACCCTAACTGATAAAGCCAGATGTTGTTTGTATAAAGTTAGCTTATCAACACAAGCTAACCTTGGGCAGCTGGACAGCCAATTCAAAAAGTTATCAAAACTTGTCAACAAGTTATCAAACTTGTCAACAGTGATCAAGTTTAGAACAATAAAAGACTTTTGGAAATTATAATGCCTTGCTTTCCAACAGGACATCATTGAAGAACTTGTAATGAAAAGATTGTGAATGAATTTGAAGATACATACATGCAGAATCACTAATATCCTGGCAAAACAAATTGCACTTGAAAAGCACTAACTAAATGGGATAATTGATCCATCAAAATATGACTGATATACAGTATTCTATTCATTAATGCAATCACCTGCTTGTACCAGATGCCACATGGGATAAGCCAGGGATGCAAGCATTTATCCACATAATGACATATGGTTTAATATCAAGCAAGTGTAAAGCATGTTTCATGAAAGCAGCACTCACCTGAAATAATCAACCTACTTTAGCAGCGATTATTTGTAGACTATCCACATGCCTCTATAAAAACATTCATATAATCAAATTAATCCCAAACTAAAAAGTCAACCCACCAACTAATAAACGAAAAAGCAGGAGCGAAGAGGTCTTGCTCAGAGTAAGCGAACAACCTACCTCTTAGCATCCAGTTCAAGAAACCAGCCAACTGAAATAATAAATCCCTCAGACCACAGTATACATAAAACGTTCAATGACAAATCTCTAGTATGGGCGTGAACGATTCCCACTATAATGATCCCGTCGATCAGGGCCAGAATTGTCTCGGCGCCTATCTCCACCATAGCCACCCCTATTGCCCCTAAAAAATTTAAAAAAGAACAATTAATATAAACTTCAAAAGAGAGATAGAATTATCATATATAAGACTATCAATATGTAAATATATAAACATTATCAGTTGATTTATGTTATCAGTATAACAAGACTATAAATACCAAATACTTGCAACAAAAAAAAATACAAAAATTCAAATTGAATCAAACATAATTAAATTTGATAATAGTTTATAATTTCAATTGTTGATATGATGTTGATGAGATGATTGGAAGTTTATGAGCTCAATAGTCTCCAACTATGACATTTAAGCTTAAAACATGAAATAGAAAAATAGAAGATATACATAGAGATTTAATGAGTGAACATATTAGAAGTATTATAATATAATAATACATAGCCCATATTTTCAATCCTAATCTGCAACATTAGCATATCATTCATCCTAACAAATAGATTCGGTGAGTAATGCATACCCATGGTTATTTGCTTGCGGAGCCCTTGGTGCAGATTTCTCTGCCATCGCAACACTGATTTTGTAACCCCTCAAATCATATTCTGAAATTGCATATTCATGATTAGTTGAACTTCATACAAGAAATTATATCATTAAGTACACTATATAGAAGGGAAAGAGGTAGTTCAAAGTAGTACCGTTGTAAAAACCGCCAGCAGAGTGAGCTGCAAAGGGATCTTCATAAGCAAGGCATGCATCGCCCTTGTTTTTTCCATTTTCATCGGTATAAATCTTTATGTTGTAAGGCCATTGATCTTTATAACCCCTCTTTTGCTTAATTCTTCCAACCTAGGCAGTTAAAACTAATGTAAAAAAAATGTCTAGAATGTTGAGTCTAATTCTCCACATATAGAAAAAAAAAAACATATTTCCACCATTACAACAGAGTTGTATTACTTATACAAAGTGCAACTCAATAGGTACCTCAAAAAATATGGTTATGCCTCAAAATGAAAAATATGAAATTACTCTTACAGATATACTTCCACATGAAATATTCATGATAGAAAATTGAGACAGCTAAAAAGTGCAAAAGTCAACAGATCAGAACATTACTTGTCCAATGCCTCCAAAAAGTTGTTGCAATTCATCAACAGTCACATCAGGTGGTAAGTTTGAGATGTAGATTCTAGAGTTATCACATGTATCTCCACAATTCTTGTCGCATTGCTTCACCGGAGCTGCTGACTCAGCAGGAGCTCCACCAAAGCCCCCACGATTACCACTGTCATATCCAGATGGTGGGGCAGCCCTACCACCACTCCGTGCATCGCCTTGATTATCTCCACCATAACCACCAGTGTTGCCTCCATATGAAGGAGGATATGAATTAGGTCCACCGGTATAGCTTGTTGGTGGAGGAACAGCATCTGTTCCATAATTTGCATTCCCACCATAAGCAGGAGGGTAGTTTCCACCACCACCACCATAAGACTGAGCAGCAGCAGGAGGAGGAGCTTGACCATAGCCCCCATCATCTCTGCCTTGATTACCACCATATGAGCCACCCCTATTGCCCCCTCCACCACGGCCATCATTGTTATTACTCCTTCCACCATTATAATCATTAGTTCTGCCTCCATCATAATTCCCAGATCTACCCCCTTGGTTACTGCCATATCCCCCACCACTTCCTCCTCTATTATATCCACCACCACTACCACCGCCACTGCGGTCATTACCGCTGGTAGGACATGGAGTGCCACACTTGTTACACTCATTTCTTCTGGCAAAGTTCACGTTCCCACAACTATCCACAACAAATAATATAGCAATAAAAATATATAAAATCATGTGAAAACCTAACAATCAACAGAAGTATATTTGAATGAAAACAGATATTTATCCTCTAACGCAAATATAATACCTTTCATTAGGGCAACGCCAATCTCCATCTCTGCCACTTCCACCTCCACCGCGGCCGCCACGACCACCACCACCACCTCTACCACCACGATCTCCACCTTGAAATCCACCACCACCACCACCTGCATATGTTCACATCAATCAAGTTCATGCAATAAAGAATAAACAAAAAACGCAATAAAAAATGATAGACCAAAATTACAAACCTCGACCTCCATATCCACCACTTCCCCTACTGCCGCCCCCGCCTCTTCCACCATATCCTCCACCATCGTTTCCACCGTATCCACTCCTTCCGCCATAACCTCCACCATCGCCACCTCCATATCCGGCGCCACCTCCGTTTCCGCTACCTTTCCCTCCGTAACCTCCACCGCTTTCATTTCCGCCATAACCACCACCGCTGCCTCCTCCATAATTTCCGCCACCTCCACCTGCGCCACCTCCGTAACCACCGGTTGAACCGTATCCACCACTACCTCCATAGGACGGTGGCGCGGAACCACCTCCGCCATCATGACCGTACCCTCCAGACATTATTCGATCTAGGGTTTGCTACGACCACACGAGAGAAACTGAGATTTTTGGGCACGGAAGCTTGTGAAGTGTAAAGAATGTACTAGAAAATGGGCCAAAAAGGCTACACTGAGTATACTAAACAGAAACATGGGCTAACCGTTACTCAAAAAGGTCTTGGGCCTCCTTTTCGCACCTCTACCTTTCCTAGAGAAATTCATACTCCACCCTCCAAGATGTTGAAAGTCCTCTTCATTTTCACGTTTAACCTTTATTCAAAGGATTTTTTTGGATGCTTTTATTAAAAAAAAATTAATTGATAGACAAGTGTATAATCAATATGAATTATTTTTAACTTATTATAAACATATTTACTCAAACTCATTCATAAAATATAACTAATTTTCACAAAATTTGATTTTTAACCTACAAATATAATTCATTTACATGTTTCCATAAAAAAATCACCAAAATTATTACTCGCGTGACGACTAACCTTAATTATATTTTGTTTTTATAGTCTATATCTTATGAATAGTTTTTAATATAAATAAATAAATAAATAAATTATAAAATATCATATAATTTTAAGTTTTATAATATTATAAAAATATTTAAGATTTTATTGTTGAATTATGAGTTAAACAAATATTTATATTGAAATACATAATAGTTATTTATTAATAATGTATTTTTCAAAATTAAAATACATATATTTTTATATAAATAATAAAAATTAAAATATATAAGCATATGTTATGTATGCATGAATGAGATGGATAATTATTTATATTCATGTTCAATATCTATTATGTAGATTTTTACTCTATCCATTAACTATATTTTGCAGATTTCTATTGGATATAAATTACACGGATTTGGATTTTCTCCTTTTTTATATATCATGTCATCTCTTATGTTTCTAATCTAACGGTTTAAAATTTATAATGAATAATTAAATAACAAAGACAAAAATAACAAAGACAAATTACTTATTCATTTCTCTCTCCTATTAAATGACTTTTTTATTTAATTATTCATTATAAATTCTGAATGTTAGATTAGAACATAAGAGATGACATGATATATAAAAAAGGAGAGGATCCAAATCTGAGTTACACGATCATTCATACTTTACTTAATCAGCTTCTTTTTTGTCTTAAAACAAATTTAAGTAACTTTTAATTATTTATTATCATTTATATTTGTATCAACTCTCAACTAGCTTTGCAAAATTCTCTTGAAATGATTTGTCTAATACGATGAAAAATCAATTATAAAAAGGTCCATCTGATAAATGTTTTTATTTTCAATTTCATAATTTCATTTCATTAATAGGAGAATCCAAATTGATTTGAGATCAGATATTCTCCTTAAGTAACTTGATTTTAGAAAAAACTTTTTACTCTAAGATTTTTTTTTCCAAGAGACAATTTATTATATTGGATTCATTATGAAGTGGTTGAGTTATGTTTTTGTTTTAATTATTTTTAGGGGTGATTTTGGTTCTAATCAAAGAAAAAATATTATATTGAATTGTGAAATTGGTGGTCTGTACAAAGAATAAATAAAAAGTTGAAATATGGATGTATTAGGGGTGTAAGTAGATCAGAAAAAATTAATTAAATTCACAATTCAAATCAGACTAAATTGAAAAGAACGAGTTGTTTTTGGTTCAGTTCAAAAACCGAACCGAACCAATAAAAATTGAGATGGTTTTGTTTGGATCTCGATTTTAGTTTTTAAGAACCGCCAAATCAATGAACTGAACCGAGATGACTATAAATATTTACTTAATCTTTTATTTATCTCATTATTAAACCCAAATTTTGTATTGTTCTAACTCTTCTCCATCTTTATTTACACTTCATTTCTTTTAACAAAACAAACAGTCAAAATCAAACTCCAAACATAAAAAATAGAAATCATAAGCCACAAAAAATTGCTCTCACCAAAATGTTGCTCTGGCTACCCGCCATTACTATTTCTCTCGCCACCGTTATTCTTATAGGTTATGGTTGCATTATTCATGTTTAAGTTCTCTTCTTTTAGTTTTGTTATAAAATAGATTTGATGTGTGTTTGAGCTGTGAAACATGTTAATTTATGTGCATTGAAACCTTTTGTTATTATTGTGTTTTATTTGTTAAGCTTCCAAATCCCTTCCCAACCTTATTTTGCCAAGTGCCAACTTTTATATTCGATAGTTGTCGCATCTCGAAAAATATGACCTACGAGCGTTTGCTCGCTCGCAGAATGGTAGTGCTTGGTGAAATAATTGAGTTGTAGTCATGCATCATGGTGCACGGATTTCGATCCAGTTTTGGTGTGCTCTAGTCCAATGGTATAGATTCAGGAGTGAGTAGCTGATTCCAGATGGGAATCGGTGAACCGTTGCTTATGGTGATAATAATGATTTTTGCTGTGGTTTGGTCCTATGGTGGGGATTCTGGAGCGAGTAGCTGATTTTATATGGGAATGGAAGAAGCGTTATATATGGTGATGGTAACAATTTGGTGTGCTCTGATTCTATGGTGTGAATTCAGGAGCAAGATGAACCTGAGTGTTCATAAATGGTATTGCATGCGTAAAGAGACAATTATGAAGTACATTACATACATGTTTGCATACATAGTTGATTGTTCATGATGTTGTTGATTGGTTGAGTATTTATACATGTTATGAATGAGTGTGAGACTACGTCGTTGTTGATTATATAATGAATGTGTGTTTATTGTATGTTCTCTACCTTAGTATTCTTTACACTATTGATATTGAATGTTGTTTCTCACCCCTTTTACTTCATGTTGTCCACCATGAACATCTTGCAGATACTCAAGAGTGATCCTTGTTGTTGTATGTTGGAAGGTAGCTTGTTGGAGCTATTCTTCGCTTTTATTTTATTTGCTTTATAATACATTAGTGGTTTATTTCTCTTATCGTGTAACATTGGGAACAAGAGTTATTATGTTTTCGAAGTTGTTGTTGTTTTTGTTGTTTTTGAGTTTATAACTTATTTATGAAGTTGTGCTGAAAATGTTTTTCTGTTGCGTGGCTTTTAAATGATTTGATGTGTTTTCGAATGATTGACGTTGGTGACACCTTAAATTATCGTGTAATGCTTTATTTTTAAGTTTCAAGGTTTAGGGTGTTACAACAGACTATGACGGATATTGAACAGGATCGTGGTTGACATCTTCTAGTGGAGACTGGCGGTGAGCTGGTGTGCCACCTTCTCACCAACTCCTGATACATGTTAATAGAGGCACATGGAAGGCCCATGTGTCATCTAAGGACGGCCTCCCAAAAAGTGTCTGACAACAACTTACATTTTAGGGAGTCTGATGCTCCTATGATGACCATTTGTGTGTTGATGGAGGCGACGTGTTTGTAGGGATCACTGTGCCCATCAAACTTGGCCAAAGACAGGGGTTTGAAACTTTGGGGATAAGGGCCCTCATATATTGTCCGAGAGTGGTTGGGGATCCAATAGTTCCACCTCTTATAGAGGATTGACCTCATGTTGGTGTTGTTTGTTGTTTTGGACGTCATATTCTAACAACCAATTATGGCGTCGTAGCTCGTCCATGGCAGCTCGCATCTCTACCATGGCCTCGACACTGTATGTACCTCTGGTCCCTTTAAGAGTAGGTGATAGAGTTATACTATTTACCATAACCGATAATAGTTAGACGTTGGAGTTAAGGGTACGGAAGTGAAAGTTATGGTTGTTGAAAAATGGTGTGGCCCATGTTAACTTTACCGGGTCCCCTGGTGGGCGCTAATGTACTGTTCAAAAAGTACAGATGTGTGTGTTCCCCCTACAAAGGCATAGAGACTCAGAGGCCATAGTAGGTATATTACAGTTTGGGGGTGATGGCTAGCTCACGGCGGCGAGTAGTGTCGCTACTGCGAAAATCGGCGCCGGCTAAATAGAAGAGTCGTCACCGTGCGTTATTTATCCCAAAGGAGGGAAAGGAAACGCTCGAAGTAAACCTACCGCAAAGATGGGAAAGGAATGGTCATCGCAACCAAATCCTGGATTCGGGAACCGGTTACGCAAGGGGAAGGTATTAGCCCCCCTCACGTCTGTCGTACTCGACGGGATCCACGCTTGCTTGGTTTGTCTAAGGGATGCAAAACAATCTATCTACGGCTGCTAAATCTAAACGGAAAGAAACTGACTCGATAGAGCATCGCACTCTATGCCTACGTATTCTCAAGAGAGAAAGTCAGAGTCATCGTAGTTCAGGAAACTACAGGGAATTGGCTCGCCAAGACTTCGCGTCTTGTGCCTACGTACTTCCACACAACGTGAAAGATCAGAGCTTACGTAGTTCAGGCTAACTACGGCTACACAGGGTGTTCTCGATCACACAGGGGTGAGAGATTAAGTTGGCTTGAAAGGTACGGGAACCTACGGGAACTTAAAACTACGGTCTGGTCTCAAATGCGCAAGGGCAAGAGAAAGGGAAACGTCATTCGTCAGCGGGAAAGTCTCGATCGCACGGCAGCGAGAGAACAGAAAGGTTAGTTGTTAGTGTGCTCGCTAGGATATCGCATCCTATGCCTACATATTCTCATTTGGTACGAGAAATCAGAGCAGTTGTAGTTCAGCCAACTACAACTAAACGGGGAAACGGGAAAAAGGGAGCTCGCTAGGATATCGCATCCTATGCCTACGTACTCTCGTCCGGCACGATAGATCAGAGCAAACGTAGTTCGACGGGAAAACGAGTCTCGATTGCACGTGGGCAAGAGAAGGGGTCTCGATCGCCTGAACGCGAGAGAAAAGGGGTTTCGCTCGCACGAGGCGAGAACAAAGAGGAAGAAGACCTACGCCTAAACGGGAAGGAACCCGGGACACACACGCAAGAACCTAAGAAGAAACTCCTCAGCTGCCGTTTCCTTCGTATCTAACGATGCGGCTCACAATACTCGACGGTTGCCTGAAGACTTTGAATAAGATGATGATGATGAACGAAGCAGCTCCGTTGACTCCTGACGTGCGCGCAAGCTCCA